TAACGAGGATTACAGGCATGAGCCACCAGTATCTGGCTCCAACTGGTATCTTTAAATGTCATTGAATTCCAGGGCTGAGATGCAAAGTCCAATACTTTAAGATGACCCAATGAGAACTTATCTTCGTTTATTGTAATGTACAGGGCAGGACTGGGTCTTGGGCTCTGTGCTTGCTAGGCAGGTTCTCCATAACTTGAACATGTCTCCAGCTCTTCTTTTCTCTGCTTACTTGTGAGACTGGGTCTCACTTTTTACTGTAGTCAGGCTGGATTGTGATCCTCTATGCTTTCCTCTGTAGCTGGAATGACAGCCATGTGCCATCATACCCAGCGTTTTCTGTTGAGAGGCAATCTCCCAATCCTCCCTCCACCCCCCCAGGATGACCTGAAATTGTGAGCCTCCTGAGCTCAACCTCCCACATAGTGAGGATTGCAGGTGTGAGCCACAGTGCTAGACTTCACCCATTTTCCACAGACAAGGCCATACTTCCTCTTACTGCTAGGAAGTTTCAGTGAGCTGCAGCTAATAGTCAGCCACATGAGAGCACCCTGATTCTATAATGCACTGCAGTACTAAGAAGTCAGGAAGATCAGCAGTGTCAAATGCACATTCACCCTATGATGCTTTTAACTTACAGTGGGTTCATTAACCAAGCATGCAGCAGAGCCCATGGAAAAAGAAATTATGAATGGCAACTGTGTAAACACAGCCCTACACTGAAAGCAGGAAGCTCTGGGTTCCAATTTCAGCTCCATCATTAACACAACCTAGTTTCCTTATCAGAAAATGTCTTATTGATAGGGTCACGTGGGAAAGAAGAGATAAGCAATGTGAAATATCATGATACTAACAGCTAAAAAAATACAAATTCACCTCAGTGGATTCATGGGCTCAAATGGCAAGAGAAATTTGTGCTGGGATCCCAGCACAGAATGTCAGCACAAGACACTTGAAAAGAGGACCCAGTAGAAGAAATAAATATGGGCCAAAGTCAAACTTTTTCAATGTCTTTGTCTGATGAAGGACAGCCTTCTAATGCTAGGAAACACAGCATTGCCTCTCACAGACTGAAGCATACAGCCAGAGAAGGGTGAAGTTTCCAGCATCCCTCACATTTGAAATGTATTAAACCCACACCCCATAGCAACAAGAACCCAACCTTCCAGGGGCTTGCTTCCCATCACCCAAGAAAGCCAAGCCTAAGGAAGCACACCACTATGACCAAGCTCTCTCTATGCTTCCCACTTGGCAGAACTGAGCCTCCACTGGGTCTTAGGGTCAGCTAAAGACAGACTAGAGGAGGTTTTTGCCAACTTTCCCTTTGCATAAAGCCTTCCTCCACCCCCTGGAGACCCCCAGAGCCCCTTGTCCAACGTCCACACAGCAGCAGATCTGATCACGTCAGCCGCCTGTCCCCAGCGCCATAGTGTTGCTTTGTATATGGTGAAGAACAGAATTTCTGAATTCATGAGCTCAATTCTCTCATTTGCCAGAGTAAGGAGCCAATGTTACAGTTTAATTACAATCTAGTACCCACAAAGAATCCACTTTCCTGAAGGACCCCATCCTTGCACAGAAATCATTTTAACTCCAAGGACATAAAAAACAGATGTCAAGAGTCCTTGCGTCGATGAATCTAGAATGGCAAAGCCATAATTGAGAGCAGGCCAGGGATTCTAACTGTATTTTTGCTGCAAACCACGGTTAGCTTGACCCAGGTCTAAAATTGCATCCTTGAAGATTGTGCCATCTTTGATCTGAGTCACAGCAGGGAAAGAAATAGAAAGAGATGACATAATTTTTTGTAAGTTGCACAAGTTCATTTACAAGTTCATCAGATAAAAAGTTAGCTAATTTTTCACATGCTTCTGATATTTAAAATGAAGATTTGTTTGGATTTTTTTTCTGACACTGAAAATGGTTGCCTAGCAACCCTTTCCTTCGTGGCATGATTCTGCTATGATTTCCACCTGCTAGAGAAAAATTCATCTATGAAATTATTCCTTTGCAAATCAGAAAAAGTAGGAAAATGAGCCAGTGATTCAAATGAATGCATGCTACATTTGCAAGATTGTAGACTTCCAAAGACACATATGCATTTACTTTAAAAATGTTGTATTTTACAAAATGTACCTTAACAAAGGTTGACAATAGCCCTGGCTTCACAAATGCAGGCTGTTTCAAAACAATTCCATTGTAACAGAACACACAGACTCAGTGTTGTGTTCCAACAGAACATTCAGCTTCCGTTTGAAGTGTCTGAAAGGGAAACCCAAGTCCCGTCTCCCCAATACCTCTCAATGACACAGGGTATGGGGAGGCACCACCATTGCTGGTGGTCTCAAGGACAAGGTGTCCATTCAGAGAACACATTATTAGCCTGATATGCCACGAGAGGACTGACACTAATGCCTTGTAGTCCTGTGCTGTGACCACACTTCATAATTAGACCTGCAGATTCAATATTCAAGGCAGTTGTTTGACTCATTAGGCAGCTGAGCTTGGGGTTCGCTGCCCTCAAGGCATCTCCCTCCTAATTGAAGTGTCCAAGTAGTGTGCTGAGTTAAGGCTACCAACTGCATGCCCACTGCATCCATTTCACCCTTCTCCCTCAGCAGGACAGCCCTGAGGTTTTGGTTTAGTCCTCGTTTTCAGCATCCATACCTAGATGTGATTAAACTGTGCTTAATGTGGACCACTAAGAGCTAAGTACAAATATCACGTGATACTAAGACTTCTTAAAAAAGCATTCCTGGTCGATACCTTTTGCTCTCCTCTTACTTTTCTTCTTGAAGATAAGGATGTTCATGAAATGATTATGCAATATTTGGCACTCTGGCAGCTATATTCCATCAGGACATCAAGGGACCAACATAAGGACAGTGAGAGCCACATCTGAGAGATGGCTGGTATTGATGCACCTTACAAAACAGTGCTGGAATGTCTAGGAGAGTAAGCCCCTGTTGCATCTAGATGCATTATTTGGGGGTTTCCTAAGCCAGCCCTAATTATAGTAGGCTGATACAATATGGCACAGCTCGACTGAGGAGTTAGCAAGCATAGGTTTCCTTGTAGTTTTTAAGGCAGTAGTTCAAAGCAGTATGTCTGAACTTCAGTAACAAAGAAGACACAGCCCCTCCCTACACAATGAACATCTGGTTGATACATAGCCAGCTGTGTATGAGCAAGGTCAGGAGGAAAGTAAGAAGCTTGCTCTGAGACCTATGGAGGGAGGGTATTCCAACATGCATGCAAATAGTACAGTGAAACCCTCGGGTAAAATTAATTTCACTGCTAAAGCAAAAGAAGAGGAAAAATATCCTAGTTTGGGTCACAAAGCAGGACCCTGTAAGTATTTTGACATGGACAATCTGATGTGGCTTGTGTGCCAGACTCATACGTCAGGTTATGAGACCATCTGCCATTAGTCTGTATAATCAGAATAATTTTAAAATGAATTTGAAATTAGAAAATTACAGGTGTAGATGTCACGCTATTTGTATTGAGATGCAAATACACTGGCCCTGTAACTCAGCCACTCACCCCTGAGGATTTATGTCATGTCTGCTCACACAGGCATCCAGAGGTCTTCACTGTGGTACTGTTTGTAGTAGAGAAGGCTAGGAAACAGCCTCGATGTCCACCAGTGGGAAACTGGCTCAGTGAACCAAGTGGTCCATTCACACAGGAATAGGATCTGGATTTTTAAGAAGGAATAAGGAAGTTCTCTGCACTGAGGCAGAAACACTTTCAAAATATGTAAAAAAAAACCACATGCACAAAAATGTGCACATAGCCTGCTACGTTGTGGGAAACAAAAAATTAGAGCATCTATTTTCACGTGAAGAGAGAAGAAGACCCTATGAGAAACTAATCAGTTATTAGTATGTAAAGCCAAGGTAATCCTGTAGATGTTAAACAAGAAGAGAAAGGGATTTGCTCAATTTTATCTTTACACACTCATCCACACACACTATACAGACACATCTATCCAAGACATCTAAAGGAGAATATCTCCTTTGTTTTACCTTCTGCAAACAAATAAGCTAAAGATGACTTCATTCCTTACTTTGGGTAAAAATGAATGGTTGCTTATCCAACAGCACTGCCTAAGGCTTACCTCTGACCAGAAACATTATTCAACATTTGCTTCTTCTAAAGACAGTAAAAGCAATCACCAGAAACAGGTGGATGGAAGACAAAAGCCAGAAACAGAAACTTTACAGTCACGGGTTTGAAAGGGAGCCACTTATAAAGACGTGTTTGTATCAACACCCATCTCAGTTTGCAAAATGGCTACAGTCAGTGATTGAAGCATGGTTGATGGTGGCCACCTACGAGGGGGGCCGTGGGTGTGTTGGGGGGAGGGGAGGGATTGTGCACGGAGCTGATGACACGTGACAGGTCCCAGCTACTGAGCGGGTGTCCCCCGTACCCCACTTGCCCTTCGTGTCTTTTCTACTGGTTCTGCTTCCCCTCCTACCGGCCAGCTTGGGTGCTCAGGGCACGCGAGCGAGTGTCAAGGTTACACCGAGCCAAACAAAGGAAGGTAAGCGTGCAAAGAGCAAGCAGTACAGAAGTCACGCAGAACTTACTTGTGGATGATGAGCTGACCGCCAGGTTCCCTGGTGAGACAGGCGGGTGTAGACTGCCAAGGGGGGGGGGGGACTAAAGGCCTGGGGTGGCTGCTTTCTGGGATCCAAGTTGGGCAGGCGTTATGCGTTACTGATCTCTGGAGTCCGAAACCTCTGGTGTCTTCTTGTCCGTGGCACTGGCGTTTGTGCTTTTATTTCAGGACCAGAAGTCTTTTTTAAAGAAATACTCATGCATACAGAGTTATGCAAAGCAAACACAGGCCACCTGCCTGCCCGCCCGCCTGCCTGCGTCTGGTCGGGTTCACTGCACCCCACCCAGCGGCCCTGAGCCGGTTGGGAGGCCCGGGACGGGAGCCAGGCTGTGGGCGCCACCTGGTCTCCACAGACAGCATCTCGCATGCTCACCCCGCACGTCTGACCCGGCTTCTCTGAAGATCGGCCGCCCGCGTGCTCCAGACACAGGCCGGCCGGGCATGTCACCACTGCGACAGGGCCAAACGTGCTTGCGTCAGTGCCCGTGACGTCACAGAAACGTGTTCGCGTCAGTGTAGACTGACATGGCAGGAACAGCTGACTGAGTCACCGCTGACTGAGACGTGGCCGACATGCTTGCGTCACTGCTGACTGGGATGTGTCTGAACGTGCTGGCGTCACGGCTGACGCGGACGTGCGGGACGTGCGCGCGTCACGGCTGACGGGAACGTGGCCCATGTGGCCAACGTGTGCCCCTGTGGCTGACAGGGATTGACCTTGGAAGGAGACGTAGAAGTCTCAGACGTCCGTCGGGCTTCTCTGACTCCGTGAGGTCAGAGCCGGGAGGTGATGGCCTGGGCTCCGGGCACTGGACATACGACGCGGGGGACGGACGGTAGGCAGAGGGGGCTCGGGCGCAAGCAGGGGCCTGAAGCAGTGTGAGGAGGGCGGGGCCGGGGGCACGGGTGGGTCAGGGGGCGTGGGTGGGTGGCTGCGGCGGGGTCAGGGGCCACAGGTGGGTTAGAGGGCACAGGTGGGTGGCCAGGGCTGGTCCACAGCCCGCCCATCAGACGGGCCTGGCTGGCGCATGCGGAGCGCCACCTCCAGGAGTCCCCAGGTGGGCCGAGTCCTGAGGTGAGGCCGGCAGGCGCTTGCAGGACGGTGGAGCCCGAGCAGGAAGGGGGTCCTCCGTGCAGGATAGGGTCCTCCGGGGTCCCTCATGGAGGAAGGGGGTCCTGTGCAAGACGGGGGTTCCCTCCTGCAGGACAGGGCCCCAGTGCAGGACGGGTGACCCCATGCAGGATGGGGGGGCCGTGATGACCTGCCCAGTGACCTCCGTGGAGGCGTCACGTGGCCTCACAGAACTCTGGGGTGCTGTTCAGAAGCATAGATATAACTTGGGGCCAGGAGAGCAGCGTGGGCGAGGAGGAGGGAGGGCTGGAAAGACGCGGTGCTTTGGATGAGGAGTGAAAATTAACACCCCATCTGGGCGAGGGATGCACCCCATAATTCTAGCTACCGGAAACGTCGGGGGGATGGTCGCCGTGCAGAGCGAGCTTAGGTATAAAGTGTTGAGAGGCCCTCGTCTCCAGAAACACACCGGGGCTGGCATGGCTGCCCGCAGCCCCAGCCGTGCAGGGGTGTAGGTAGGAGGATCACGGTCCTCAGCCCTCTGCCCTGGTGGATGGCGGCGGCAGCAGCGGCTTCCACCGTCCTCTCCCACACAGCAAAAAACCCTGCACGGCCCCGGCTGCACAGGGCTGCCCCGGTCCAAGCCCCAGTGTGTATGCCAAAGGCGGGGAGTCTGCTCCTGCACTCCCTCCGCTCTGCTCCTCCACTCCCCTGCCTGCAATCACTTCCCAGGAAGCCTGTGGCCTTGCCGTCCTGGGCTGGCCTTCGATTGCTGGGGAGCTCTCCAGCCCAACAGCAGCATTTTGGATGGAGGGAGATGAACACCCACTGGGGTTTAGATGCAGGGAGAGTGCTGCTAGGCAGGGCCTCCTGCACATTTTGGATGCCTGAGCAGGGGGACTTCGGGGTCTCTACCTTGGCTATAGAGCGAGTCTGGATGGGCACAGGGCTGCCATGTTCCCTGGCCTCCTCAGGGCCTGGCCTTGTCTTCCTGAGGCTGAAACCACAGAGTCAATTCATGATGTCCAATGGGACTGAACAAGAGCAGGGTCAACAGAGGAAATCCTTCTATCCAGTTTCCTTGGATTAAGACTGGAATGAATGGAAACAAATGCTAACTGGTCTCCCAAAGTGATGCTTATACCAGGCAATGGAGGCTGAATTCACAGAAGCTGGGACAAAGCCAGCCCTTTCTCAAGCATATACATTCTCTACATTCTCATTATCCATTCTCTCTCTTTTTACCTGGAGTCGGCTTAGCTGTAACCTCCACCAACAGCCTCTCAATGTGCAAGGGTTCGCTGATACAGCCCACCCGCAACTACCCAAGAGCAATCTGGAAAAGCAAACACAGACAGTTCTATTTATAAAACGCCAGCAGAAAATAGATGCTGCCCACGAAAGTGTACAATAGTTGCTGTTCACATTCTGATATCTGAACGAGCCACCGTTGATATGAATAATTCAAACACAGCTCCAGACAAATGATCCTGGGATTATACGAAAATAGAAGAACGCTCCACAGTCTGCTGCTGCTTTTATTAAAGCCTGGCTCATGCGGAGCACTGTTTTCTCTGGGGTTATTTCTAGTACAAATGATCAGTCAATAAGGCAGGATCTACCGGCAGTGGAGGCCACGTGAGCTGAAAGAAAAGTCATCTTGATCTTCTATTCATTTTTACCTTGTGAATTATAACTCGTGCAGACTGGGTACAAATTAAAAGTCAGAAAATTAGTCTTCATTTGTTTATCTTAATTATTTAGTGGGCTCACAGGCTTTGTTGGAAAATAAACAGGAGGGTGAATCCTGGCCTAAATGTCTACTCGTGATGCAGAGATGAGCCACAGGAAGAAGTAGGAGTGGTACCATCTGTAAATTAAATAAAACCATGCTTCTTCAGCGGCCTTGAGATGCAGTGGTGGGCACACTGCCCTGCTGGGGTTGGCAAACTGCAGGCGTGAGGCAGAGCTACCCGAAGGAGTGGATATCAGAAGTTAGAATTTCCCTGGAAGCTGAAATTGTACATGACCTTAGACCTGAGCCATCTGAAATGAAGGCACTTAGAGGAGGGAAAAAATCTATCTCTTGTGATCACATTTGGCTGTGCATTGTTAATAAAACCATTAGATAGGGGTGATTTGACAATGTCAAAAGGAATGCTTTTGACGTTAGATGAATCTTGGATGAAAGATTTCACTGTCATCAGGGAACAGCTACCTGGGAGAGGTGAGAAGGGCTGCTCCTCTCAGTGTGGTTCCGCTAATGGATCACTGTGTTCTAGAAAGATGTCTGTATGTGGGAGACTGTAGACCGAATAAGCCCTGAGATAGAAGCCTGAGTCCTAAGGATTCTCTTGAAAAGATCTCAAAGGAAGCTTCCACTTGGTGTGTAAGATAAACAAATTAAAAACTAATGCCAAAAGATCGTATCATATATTCATTTATTACTTACACCGAAAAATTAGTTTGTTGATTTAGCATATCATCTCTCAGAATATACCCAGAGTAAAATAACTGGGAGAAATTTGGAGCAATGAGGAAATAAGGCTGAGGAAGAAACAGACCCAGAAAGAAGGGGCCTATGATATACAAGGGCTCAGCTCTGGCTGGAGGTTCATACTAGACAAAAATAAAGAGAAAACTATGGTTATGAATCATGGGATACACAGAAAACACAGATCAGAAGTGAAAGTAAATAATACGATATTGCTAAGTTACCTACTTGCCTAAAGCTACATGCTACTTTTATTGGGGCAGGGGGGGGGGGCGCCTTGAACTCAGGGCCTGGATACTGTCTCTGACCTCTTTTGCTCAAGGCTAGTACTTTATTACTTTGAGCCAGACCTCCACTTTCAGTTTTCTGGTAGTCAATTGGAGCTAAGAGACTCAGGAACTTTTCTGCCCAGGCTGGCTTGGAACCACAATTCTCAGATCTCAGCCTCCCTGAGTAGCTAGGATTACAGGGGTGAGCCACCAGCACCTAGCCTACATGCTACTTTTAATTTAACAAATGAACATACCCAGACATATACAAATACTAGAAATTCATGTTTTTTAAGTTGTAGCTTGCATTTATTTCACCAGAATGTCTAATGAACCATTGCTTGCTGGATTTTACCCCTAGAAGTTCTGATTCAGTAGGTTCGGGTAAAGCTCAATAGTTTGCATTTCTAACACCTGCAGACACCATCATTGCTGCTGCTGATTTAAGGATTACTTATGAGCCACTAGTTTGAGTGAATTTCTTGGCAGAATGCTAATAATGAGGCTCCCAATTCTATACTTCTCTCCCCCTAGTAATCATCCCTAGAATAACCTTGTTAGGCTCTTCCAGAAAGAGCTTTATATGTAAAAATTATATAGAAAAGACAACCCTGAAAATTCATATTATATCAGAATAAACTAAAACAAATGGCAAAAAATTGAGTATTTAGTAACAACAAATGTTATTTTCCTATCCCTAACCTTCCCTTTTCTCAAAAGAAGGAAGATCTGAAAGTTTCACTGAGATTTGTCAAGGTCATGGTCAGTTTTTAGGATGCTTTAGAATCTTAAGTCAAGCTCAGTCCTCCAAGTGGGAAGTCTAATTGGTATATCTTCACCGAGTCTCGTATTTTCTACCTTCATGTAACAATATGAGCAACTGTTTGTCTCAAGGCCGATGCCAACAGGAAGGGGAGGAGTAAAGGCTGTGATTGAAAAGCAAAGTTCTGATCAGTTCCTTATAATCTGCTGAAAATGGTAACTCTTTTCTCCTGAGTATCTTCAACTCAGTCTGAATTCCAGGAACGAATTTAAAAATGCATTTCCCTTTGCATTGAATGAATGTGTCTGTCTCTGCCTCTCTCTTTCTCATCCGTAAATTAATAGAACCTCATTTTGACAGGAATGCTTGAATCTTGCAAAAATTTGCATAAATTCCACATTGACATATTAAAGGCAAATTACACAAATGTGAAAAATGAATAAAATGTTCTCAAGGCGACATCCTGAGATTGACTATGACTGAATTGATAGTTGGTGAAAAACATAGACTTTGTTCATTTATTTTAATAACTGACATTGATTTTAATTATTTACAATATCAACCTTAAGAAGCTGAACCCACCTGACAGCCCTCAACTATTTGATCTCAGCTAAAAAATTGTGAAGGAGTCAGAGTTCTCAGCGAGAATGGAAGCTTATAAATTAATGAAGTGAGAATTGACACATTTTTTTCACATCTGAAGATTTGTTTACACATTTAAAACCATGTCTTACACCATTACAATCCCTTGTAGACACTAATTCCATGCTCTTGTGGAATGTTTTTGTTGTATACTTTGGCTTAGAAGATATTTTGACCTGATAAATATAAAAACCTAAGACTCCTAGAAGTGAAATGATGTGTCAGAGATGAGACACAGAGTAATGTCAAGATCACACTTGAGATGTGACACACTCTTGACTTTTGTCCTTTCCCATGGATGGCTTCAACCCTTCATAAGAGGTGGGGGAAGGGAACTACATTTTAAAGCGACATGCTTCGATACCACTTCCTAATTCTTTCCTGTGGCTGAAATACAAAGCAAAACTTTGGGTGGTCAGTGGCTCGGGCCTGTAATCCT